AATGTATCGTTCTTAATTCATGGTTGCCACAATGTTAAACTGCTCCTATAGGACCTTAATGTATCGTTCTTAATTCATGGTTGCCACAATGTTAAACTGCTCCTATAGAACCTTAATGTATCGTTCTTAATTCATGGCTGCCACAACGTTAAATTGCTCCTATAGGACCTTAATGTATCGTACTTAATTCATGGTTGCCACAATGTTAAACTGCTCCTATAGGACCTTAATGTATCGTTCTTAATTCATGGTTGCCACAATGTTAAACTGTTCATATAGGACCTTAATGTATCGTACTTAATTCATGGTTACCACAACGTTAAACTGCTCCTATAGGACCTTAATGTATCGTTCTTAATTCATGGTTGCCACAGTGTTAAACTGCTCCTATAGGACCTTAATGTATCGTTCTTAATTCATGGTTGTCACAGTGTTAAACTGCTCCTATAGGACCTTAATGTATCGTTCTTAATTCATGGTTGCCACAGTGTTAAACTGCTCCTATAGGACCTTAATATATCGTCCTTAATTCATGATTGCCACAACCTTAAACTGCTCCTATAGGACCTTAATGTATCTTTCTTAATTCACCTTAGTATATCGTACTTAATTCATGGTTGCCACAATGTTAAACTGCTCATATAGGATCTTAATGTATCGTTCTTAATTCATGGTTGCCACAATGTTAAACTGCTCATATAGGACCTTAATGTATCGTTCTTAACTCATGGTTGCCACAAAGTTAAAATGCTTCTATAGGACCTTAATGTATCGTTCTTAACTCATGGTTGTCACAACGTTAAACCGCTCCTATAGGACCTTAATATATCGTTCTTAATTCATGGTTGCTACAATGTTAAACTGCTCATATAGGACCTTAATGTATCGTTCTTAACTCATGGTTGTCACAACCTTAAACTGTTCCTATAGGACCTTAATGTATCGTCTTTAACTCATGGTTGCCACAAAGTTAAAATGCTCCTATAGGACCTTAATGTATCGTTCGTAACTCATGGTTGTCACAACGTTAAACCGCTCATATAGGACCTTAATATATCGTTCTTAATTCATGGTTGCCACAATGTTAAACTGCTCCTATAGGACCTTAATGTATCGTTCTTAACTCATTGTTGTCACACCGTTAAACTGCTCATATAGGACCTTAATGTATCGTTCTTAATTCATGGTTGCCACAGTGTTAAACTGCTCTTATAGGACCTTAATGTATCGCAGTTTAACTTGTGGCAACCATGAGTTAAGAACGATACATTAAGGTCCTATATGAGCAGTTTGACGTTGTGTCAACCATGAGTTAAGAACGATACATTAAGGTCCTATAGGAGCAGTTTAACGTTGTGGCAAACATGAGTTAAGAACGATACATTAAGGTCCTATAGGAGCAGTTTAACATTGTGGCAACCATAAATTAAGGATTCCTATAGGACCTTAATGTATCGTTCTTAACTCATGGTTGACACAACGTTAAACTGCTCCTATAAGATCTTAATATATCGTTCTTAACTCATGGTTGTCACAACCTTAAACTGTTCCTATAGGACCTTAATATATCGTCCTTAACTCACGGTTGCCACAATGTTAAACTGCTCATATAGGACCTTAATGTATCGTTCGTAAATCATGGTTGCCACAATGTTAAACTGCTCCTATAGGACCTTAATGTATCTTTCTTAATTCATCTTAGTATATCGTACTTAATTCATGGTTGCCACAACGTTAAACTGCTCCTATAGGACCTTAATGTATCGTACTTAATTCATGGTTGCCACAATGTTAAACTGCTCCTATAGGACCTTAATGTATCGTTCTTAATTCATGGTTGACACAACGTTAAACTGCTCCTATAAGACCTTAATATATCGTTCTTAACTCATGGTTGCCACAATGTTAAACTGCTCCTATAGGACCTTAATGTATCGTACTTAATTCATGGTTGCCACAACCTTAAACTGTTCCTATAGGACCTTAATGTATCGTTCTTAACTAATGGTTGCCACAACCTTAACCTGTTCCTATAGGACCTTAATGTATTGTCCTTATGTCATGGTTGCCACAATGTTAAACTGCTCATAAAGGACCTTAATGTATAGAGAAGAAATACGCTTCTGGGTAGCATGACGACCATTATTAACAAAAATAGACCCATTGACAATGTCCCAGCTATTTAAACTGAAGGGAGCAGAAGTATTGACTGGTTCTCAGTAGCAGCTTTGTTGTCGGGCGGAACAAAAGCGCTAGCGGAATGTAAGTTGATATAGACGCGTTGTTGAAGCTACGCGTTGTCTCTCTAACGTAAAACGAGCACAAGCTTCAAACTTCTATATATATATATATATATATATCTAGAAATGTGTCGCCAGCACTTTATTAAAACGCATAACTTATATTAGGAACGAATAGTGTTATTTCCTTTGGCAGGAGGAGCCAAGAACGAATAAAGTAAGACAGCCTTCTTTCAATGTGATGAGCCTTGTCTCACGTCTG